CCTGATAGGAGCACTCGGCCAAGAAGTCTGCCAAGGCTTGCGCCTTGATGGCTGTTCTCGGCTGATAACCGATACTGAACTCGGTGAGCTCGAAAGCCCACTTTGCTAGTCTACCGGATTTTTCAACCTTGCCGAGGACTTTCTCTAACGGCTGATCAGTTAGAACCGCTATTTGATGAGAATCAAAATAGGGTCGCAACTTCCGAGCAGCCACCACCACTGCATAAGCCACTTTTTCTAACAATGGGTAGCGCGTCTCGGCATCCGTCAGGGTGTGGCTGACGAAATAGATCGGCTGTTGAACTTTTTCTTCTTCCCTTAGCAGCACCGCGCTTACCGTGGCTGGACTGACCGCCACGTATAAGTATAGGATGTCTCCTACGTATAAGTATAGGATGTCTCCTTCGGGTCAGGTGCTCCTTGCGGACCAGATCCTCAATCTGGTCCTTCAGCTGGACGCAGTCCTCGGTGCGATGTCCGGGTGAGTCATGGAACTCGCACCACTGGTCCTTTCCCCTCGTCTGATGCCAGGGAGGCAACGGACGAGGTTTTTTGAATCTCCCCTCGTCCTTCGTCGTGCTGAAAATCTTAGCACGGGGAAGGGAGAGTGGAGTGTATGAATCGTACCTTCCCGTGTAGGGAAAGTGTCTTTCCTTCTTCGGCTCGGCAGCAGAGGACGGTTCTGAGGCCTTAGCCTTCCCTTTCCTCTGCGCCGAGACTTCGGGCTGCTGCCCTTTCGGCTTCTCAATTCTCGGACGAGACTGAGACCTGGATCTGTTCCACTCCTCGGCTCGGATGAACCTATCCGATGCTTCCAAGGCTTCCTCCAGGGTCTGCGGGGGATGCATGACCATGAAGTCCAGGAACTTTCCAGCTTGGAGGCCGTTCCGTAGCGCGAACACGGCCAGGCCTTGATCCAGGCTCGTGATTCCGGATGACTCGTTGCTGAAGCGAGTCAGATAGTCGCGGAGGCTCTCGTCCTCCGCCTGCTGCAGACTCATTAGCTCTGCAGTGGTCTTCTCTCGGCGGTTGGCCGTAGAGAATTTGCTCTTGAACTTGTTGGAGAGGTCGTTCCAACCGGTTATGGAGCCTTCCTTGAGCCCTTTGGTGATCCAGGATTGGGCAACACCTTTGAGGGTCGTAGGAAAGTATTTACACCAGGTAGCCTCAGACCTCGGGTTCAGATACATGTGCCCCTCGTAAGAGGCAATGTGATCCTTAGGATCTGAGGTACCATCGTAAGTAATATGTGCCGGGATTTTGACCGTTGGCACATGCTCTTCCAGAATCCACTTCTGGAAGGGCGAGTTCGATGGAACCATGACCGCCTTCCCCTTGTACCCGGCCTCAGGGACCTCGCTCCCTCCTCTCTCAGAGGTGGAAGTGGTTTTCGTCCCCGGCTGAGACAAGGTTGGGTGGGGTCCGGTATCCTCTGGGAAGGTGAGGCGGCTATGCACACTCACCTCCCTCGAACCCAAGCGTTCATGAACGCTTTGGCGGGCGAATTCCGGGTCCTTGGAGGGCCCCATGGAATTCTGAGCTTCGGAGTGGTCAGAGGGTTGAGGGTTCCTCCTCCTCTCCTTACTGGAGTTTCGGGTGTCCCCTCGCCACCTCTGGCCGAGCTGTCTATGTGGTGGAACTTGTCCACCATCATCCTGACCGATCCTCCTTTTCAGGTTTCTCGGCTGGTGATCATCAGGCATCTGGATTGGAGCCCCTTGAGCTTTAAGGAACTCCATGCAGATGGCCACTGCTCTGGCCACTTCCTCGGTGGAGGGTCCGGAGGGAGGAGTCTCCCGCGGATGTGACCTGGATTGCACGCTATGGCGCGGCGGGGAGTTCCTCGCACCTGAGCCACTCGGTCTCGGGGATGGCCCCGGCTGCCGAGTGTGGTGCGAGGTGTTCTCCTCCTGGAGGCTAGGACCTCTTGAGGCTTCCCTTTCCGGAGAAATGGGGGCCTCCGATTCGGAAGAGGCTTGCTCCGGGGAGGGATAAACCGGCTGGCGTTCCCTCACCGTAATCCGGCCTCCTCCCTTCTTAGCCTTCTTGGAACTCTTTCCACTCTTAGTCATGGCGACTGCCGGAGTGTTTGATGACTGACGCGAAATTTAGTAGCGCTCCCCACAGACGGCGCCAAATTGTTTCGGATGAAAACAATCGAATCTCGGAAGATCCTTTTATCTTGAGGGAACTTGGTCTCGGTCCGAACAACGCAGGAGCCGAGGGTTTCCTGCACAACAAATACACGTAAACTAGCCTCGGGGGGACGCCGAGGAAGGCCCCTCCGATGCTTAAGTCAGTATATTAGAGAGAGAAAGCTGTGCAAGAGTTTAGTTGCTTGAGGCTTTATTGTCTTACCAAGAATTGACCAAATTGTTGGCTTTTATACCTTGGCTAATGAAGGAGGCGGATTGGGCCCGGAAGTCAGTTGGGCTGGGCCAAGCTGATTGGGCCGTTGACTGACCTTGACATGGCTTTGAGGATGTTGATTTTTGACTTTAGCACATTTGGAGAGTTGAACCTTAACCTTGGGCTTTTAATTGGATCATTCAGTGACCAGGCCCAATTGGACTAAATTGGACCCAAACAATATGTAACTATTTACTCGTATATATTCATACAAAGGTATGTAATTTACTAATTTCTCTAATATTTGCTTGTCTAATTTATTTTGTTGGGTTCAGATCAGACCTAGTTTTTCTCCATTTGACCCAGAAAATGAGGCACCCACAGAGAGGAATACGAAGTTAGAAGACGAAGGTTGCCCAACGGGAACTGTTCCCATTAAAAGATTGAGCAAAGATGATTTTTTTCGAATTAAACGATTTACGAAAGATTATGCTTCAAGATCCAAGCCCAACTTTGGAGATATATTCGGAACTCAAGTAAGCTAAGCTTTATATTTATCTTCATATAACTTATTACAAAATAATTCCATTAGCAAAATTTTTTTGCATTGATCAACTTAATCATAAAATTGATACTACATGAAGTCAATTAACAAACTTTTTCTAGGGCATGTATGTGAAAAGTCACAATTTCGATTTCTTTAATTTCTCCCTAATTTGTAATTTGTAATGCTCCAATGTCTCATTCGGACCGAAGAAAAACAAACACATACTCCATCTCTTTATTTGTTACGGTTATGTATGGAGCAATTTGTAATTATTTGGCTTACAAGGATTTTAACACGTCTGAATAAAGATCTCTTTAACAAATAAAAATTAATACATATGACATAACATTTAGATTACTACAGATTATTAAATAATAATATTTTGATGTTCAATAGTATTTGCAAAATTAACCATTGTTTTATTTATATGTAAAACCACCTATACTTTTCACTTTATTTTATTTAATTTTTTTTTTTGATATACAACAATGACCCATGCCAAAAACTAGTTTGACTTTAAAAGACTTACCATAAAACTGATGTAGATCTTTTAAACATTCTTTTTAATTTTTAATTGTTGGTTTACATGGAAAATCACGCATGCATAAAAAAAATTATTCTTATTATATTAGCCAAGAAAGGGTGAAAAGATTGAAAACTTGGTGTCCAACTTTGAACTACCCAAATTGCCCCTAAAAACATATATGAAAACTTAAATAAATAAATATTTAATATGATTATGTTAGTTTCCAAAATATTACTACAATTTAAAATATTTCCAAAAAAAAAAAAAAAAAAAAAAAAAACATTAGTCACCATATTTGCATTATTCCATAAAAAAAATTAAATAAATAAATAAACCATAGGAGAATAATATCAAATCAAATAAAACTCTACTAATATTACCATGTAAAGGGATATTATTAACCCTCATGCATTATTACTGTACATGACATATGTCTAATTATCATTGATGAAATTATTTTCCCCTTATTTTTTTTTCTTAAAAAAAAATCTATGCATTTAAGAAATTTCATAAAAGATAATCACTACTAGAATCATGTCGATTTTCAACGAATTGGTTTCGACGGACACGTAATTCCATCGGAAAACCGAAATTTTTGACGGATTTTTTTCCGTCGGATATTTTTCGACGAATTCAAAAAATCCGTTGTGAATCTATTGGAAAATATGTACTTTTCGATGGAATATTCTGTCGGAAAATTAGATTCAAAATAATTGAGAGGGCTTAACTTTAAAAGTATGCTTCAAAGGTCGATTGTAAAAAAAGAAACATTGAAATTGTAATAGTAATTGTGGAAAATTGAAGTTAATGTAGCAATAATTGGGCGGAATACGCACATATAGCGTGTATATAAGACTAGTATTACATATGTTACAAGTTTATCACGATTACTTTTTAGAAAGTATAACAAAGAGTTACCATATGTTACGGAGTATAAGTTTATAACGATCTAAAAAGGTAACTAGTCTAGATTCTAACTCTCTCAAGGATTGGGGGTTCCTTGTCAATTGCAGTTAATAAGATTTTATTTTAGTGTAGATAGCCACAAGGGCGGGGTGAGAATCGATCCTACGATCTTCTGAAATCGGGAGGGAAGCTCTAACCATTTGAGCTATGCCTCACTCTCGGCCTCTCGCTGTCAACAAGATTTACAAAAGTCACGATTTTGTGTTTGGTCTGACTCCCTAAAGCTATGATGACAAAAGCTTGTTAGAAGAATTTAATTCATTTAACTCTCTACAAAATAAAGGTACAACCACTACAAACGAAAATTTTAAACCTAGAATATTCTTTATTAAAATATAAAAATTAGATAATAAGTGAAACAAAAATCTCAAAAAAAAAACATCCTAGCTTAGCATATAAATTACTTCGTATATGTTAAAAGTTTTAACCTACATAATCTAAAACTCTAAATAATCCTAACCTAACTAAAAGTCTTGATAATTATTCAGTTGCACGAAACTTCAGTACTCACACAATAGATTTGAAATTTGATGAATCAAAACATATTTATTTATTTATTCATTTTCCATATATGTGATATGTGGTAATACTTTGTTGGTGTCACAGTTTGCTGTGGTTGAAACAAATGATGACTCACGTGAAGAGACTTACAAAGGAGTAAGATGTAAGTTTAATCTTTATAATCCAGAGATTAAACAACCACAACATTCATCAGGAGTAATGATGATTCAAAATACTGATGACCGTATACAAGTTGGATGGACGGTAGGTTTTTATTAACCTGACTATTTACTCATTTCCTTATTGGCTACTCTTTTGATCAATTTTCATTGCCAAATACATGCCTTTTTTGGTAGAGAGCGAGGGATAGTTCAAATGGTTAGAGCTTTCCTCCCGTCTTTTTTGGTAATATTTTGTTGGCAATACAATCCCAAGCCCAAACACAAGAAACAAACATAAGAGTTTATTTTGTTCATTTAATTAATTAGTATTTACAAAAATCTCATTCCAACCCAAATCTCTTGATCATTTCAGTTGTCACGAAAACTTGTCATATATCAAAACATGACTGAGTTGATTTGACTATTTCATCTTTAATACTTTGTTTGTCCGTGCGAATGCAGGTTAATCCAGGATTAAATAATGACAAGCGTACTCATCTTTTTCAATTCTTTATTGTGAGTTTACGATCCTTCAATTCATTCTATCACTATTCACTACTACCATGATAATTAATACGGATCGGAGTAATAAGTATACTACCTCCGTTGTAGGTTATGTGCAATGATCAGACATTTTCCCTCTCTGCTTTATGTCAAACCGTTACACATAAACTGTAACGGAGGTAATATAATGAATATTTTAGAGGGACTCCACTACCTCCAAGTATATACTAACAAAAATAATATGCTATTTATTTCCAGGCTAACAAAACCCGGTGTTTCAATATGTTATGTCCTGGATTTGTAAGCACGAGTTCAAATGTTCCAATTGACGCGGCATATGACGGTGTATCAGTAAGAGGAGGCACTCAAGGGTATATTACAACTTCCGTTTATCAGGCGAGTACAAAATCTTTCTTAATTAAATGTGCATATATATATATATATATTATTTACATTGAATAATGGGTTTGTAATTGTTTGTAAATTAAAAAGGATCCGAATACGGGGCATTGGTGGCTAGAATTAAGAGACGGGCGGTATTCATACGCAATGGTTGGATATTGGCCACGAGAAATATTTACAATGTTAGGATACACAGCAAGCTACATTGCAGTTGGCGGGGAAGCATACAATTCACAATATGAGCCTCTCACACCCATGGGGAATGGCTATTTTCCTAAAGCAGATGCTCAACTATCTGCACATTGTGGTCGTTTTGCTGTTCTAAATGAAGATCATAAAGTGGTGGATCCTGATCAAACTGACTTATTAGTTACCAATTCCAGCTATGGTGTCATTGATGTTAAAGATTATGGCGATCTAGGCCGAACTGTCTTCTTTGGAGGAACAACAAGAGACTAGCTTAGTACTCCTAGCTAGGAGGGATCGATTGTAAACAAAATTAAACAATTGTAATAATAAATGTTTGAATTGTTTTTCTGTAATTTACTTGTATATATATTCAAAAGTTGGTTGTTTACCTGCTAGGTAAGAGGCTATTCTGAGTAAATAACTTCACACTTTTGATTTACACAACTTCACACTTTTGATGTTTCAAAAAGTTGTTCATGATTGCTTATCTTCTACTCCTTGATATTACTCTTGGTAATTGTTGTTTTTTTGTTTAGGGAGAAGAGATTTATACATACAAGCTGAATGAACAAAGATATTATAGTAAATAGATCTTTGGTTCTGCACATCAATACTTATTTTGTTTATGCTTTTTTTTTTTGGTATCATTTTTTTTCTGGAATAGACCAATCTTAAGCTGAGTTTATATTCATGATACTGTTTCTTGTAAATATTTGGCTTCTTTTATCGGTTTTGATGAAGTACTGTATAATCATGGTTGGTCTTCTCTGGATATATCTCTATATGCTGGCAGTTGAATCTTGATGCAGTGTTCAACATTATCAAAGAACATATATGAAGCAACAATTGCTACCCATCCGATTCCAGACAACTGACTTCTCTAACATCAATAAACATATACAAGCACATGCCTATCTTAGTTGCCGCCTTTCCCCATTTGTTTTTATGTACGCCGTTTCACCCCATTCTTTGCTATCAAAGAATATTTGTTGTTGTAGACACCCAAATGTGTCTTCCCAAAACCAAACCCGGTGATGAGTACCTTTCGCGTCGAATCATAATCGAATGAAGTGAAAGTGTAGAAAGTCTAGTGTTGCAGATAGTTTTTAATTTCTTTTCTCTTCTCTCTGTTTTGAAAACCTATTTTAAGAAAACGGCCAACCAGTTTGGTTTGATCCATAGCAAGGGTTCAATAATGGTATAGTTGGATGGGACTTGAAAAGACCTTTCCAACGATATATTATAAGCCCAATTCCGATGAATAATGAGGAAGTTATGGCCAAATTACTAAACTGGGCCCGACTTGATCCTTATATGCGGCCCAATGATCTAGAGGAGGGCCTAATATGGATTTATCATTCCTAATGCAATTTCTAGATTCTTCTAGACAGTTCTTTTCAATCCTAATTCAATTAGCATTGATAAATTGACTTTGGTTGACTTTTTGGAGTTTTAATCAGAATAAAAGAATGTTTTTGAGGAAAGTACGATTTTGCCCCTTATGTACGGCTAAATTTTATCTGAATTAAGAAAACGCGTGAAAATAATAATTAGCGCCTGACGACAGACATTGGCGCCTGGCGCTAATGACCAGCGTCTAGCGCTAATCGTGTTTTATTCTCGTTGAAACTCTGATTCGTTTTTTTTTATCATATCCGGCTGATTTTCTTTATAAATAGCCTCCTAAAATTCTGTTTTCCATCATCAATTCTCATCAATTCTTATTATACTAATTCTTTCTTCTCACCAACTCTCATAAATAATTTCTTGATTATCTCTCCCTCTTTCTAACCTAGTCTTTTACAAACAAAATTCCGCATTCACAAGACCAAGAAACACCTAGTATAATTCGAAGTTGCCTTCTCCCTATACGTGAAAGGTTTAATTTCTGAGGGTTTGGTCCCAAATCTCTATTTCAATTATTTAATTTAATTGTTTGATTTATTATTTTCCTTGAAGTTACTAACACGTGTATTTTGTTATTAGAAAGAGGTGTGAGGCATCCAAGTAAGTGCTTTAATTGGTTTTATTGATATTATAATGTAGAAATCATGTTTAGGTTGTTATTATGATTCCTAGCGTCATGTTAGGGTGTTTTGATCTTCCTAGTATCATGTTTAGGGTAACAACTAAAAATTCTTAATATCAAGTATGATTAAAAGTATGCTTCCTATATTCTTTCCTAATAGCATGTTAGTATCATGTTAGGTTTAAAGCTTTGGATTTTATTGTTTAGTGACATGCTAGGATTTGTTATTAATCTTGTTAGTATCATGCCTAGGATCTTGCTATTGTTATGCTTTGACATGAACATGTTTATTTTTATAATTATTATTTATTATGTTGCTTGATGTTTATTGTTATTATTTGATCACACCTTTTATGCATGTTTAAAGGGAATTGGTACTTGTAATCACGCTTAATAAGATAATTAATAATCTTGTTTAGGGTTAATTTGATTATAATTTAAGTGATCGCCAATAATAGGTTTTATTTGTGCATTGATATTCAACCAACATATATAAACAGGTTTAGGGTTAATCCTATTGATTGCATGTTAGTCAGAAAGCGCACATGAATACGATCAGAATAAAGTAAAGGCCTATTATTAGGGTAGGTTCAATCTCTTTTAGGTTGGATTTGTACCTTCATCCCCGAACTAGCAGTCATGGTTCCAGAACTATTGGAGTTGACGATCTTCTGGATCGTTAAGCGGTGTAACCTTCACCCTGTGGACTGTTTACAAGTTCCTAAAACTTGTTGGCGACTCTTTTGCTCTATTTTCTTTCCCTTTAGACGTCACCGTACTTTAGTGTATGACCACAGTGGGGTTCAAGTTTGGGGTAATGCTTGAAATATTCCCTACAGTTGCATATACTTCATTTGTTATAAAACATCTCCAATCTCCCTTTCCCTTACATACATCATCCATCTTTCTTATCTGATTTTGTACAACTATATATCAATTCTGATCGAATTAAGAGTTCTTGATGACAGAAATGAGTCTAATATGATTAGCTCAATACAGAGGAATCATTAAAGAGAATATTTGGAGAAGAAAAGGAGATAGAGAGATAATATGATTGCTTAAGGAAAACGGTTACATCATCACATCCTTAATACATGCACTAGGGGTAGAGCATAGCTAGCTGGCAAGAATCTAATACATTCATGCACCCAAAATAACAGAAAGCTAAATGACAAAAAGGAATAACAGAATGACAGCTCATTGGATTAGCTAATAATCCAATTATTTGGTGTAATATCCTTAATACCCCCCCCTCAAGTTGGTGAGTGAGGTAAAGATGAAGCTCCTAGCTTGTGAACATGTTGATTATGCAGCTGAACAGGCAGAATCTTAGTCAAAATATCAGCAACCTGATCAGAATAAGCAATTTTCTCAGCCTTGATGGTTCCCTGTTGAATCTGATCTCTAACATAATGACAGTCAATTTCCACATGCTTAGTGCGTTCATGTAGAACAGGATTAGCAGCAATGGCAAGGGCAGCTTGATTATCACATTTAAGCACAGTTGGTGGCAAATTCTTCAAGCCTAGGTCCTTTAAGAGAGTTGTGAGCCAAGTAACTTCACAGTTAGTCAATGCCATGGCCCTGTATTCTGCTTCTGCAGAAGATTTGGCAGTGACATATTGTTTTTTGACCTTCCAGGAGATAGGAGAGTCACCTAGGAATATGCAGTAACCAGTTGTAGATCTTCTAGTCATAGGACAACCTGCCCAGTCACTGTCACAATAAGTTGTAAGAGTAGCAGCAGAACTTGATGCAAGTAAAATGCCTTGAGAAATTGTACCAACTAAGTATCTTAGCAAGCGTTTAGCATCCTGTAGATGGACAATAGTAGGCTGATGCATGAACTGAGCTAGAATCTGAACAGAAAAGGCAATATCAGGCCTTGTAATGGTGAGATAGATGAGCCTACCAAGCAACCTTTGATAAAGGCTAGGATCAGGAAGAGCATCACCCTTGTCAGCAGTTAACTTTAGATGACTGTCCATAGGAAGCTATAAGGGTTTGGTATTCAGCATACCAAATTCCTTAAGTATATCAGTAGTGTATTTCTTTTGAGAAAGAAAAAATCCATCTTCTGATCTGTCTATCTCAATGCCAAGAAAGTATCTAACTGGACCAAGATCTTTCAAATGAAAAGTTACAGGTAGAAGAGATTTGAGGTTATTGATTTCTTCCATATTGTTGCCACAAATAAGCAGATCATCCACATAAACCAAGATGAGAGTGAGAGAGTTGTTCTGAAGTTTGGTGAAAAGACTGTAATCTGATTTGGATTGAGTGAAGCTCATTTGCAGCTGGGTACAGTACAACTTATGAAACCACTGTCTTGATGCCTGTTTGAGTCCATACAGAGACTTCTTAAGCTTTCATACCAAGGAAGGATCAGCTTTAGGAATAAGAAAAGTGTCTGCAGCTGTCTGAATTCTGCTTCCAAGACATGTGTAGCCTTGGGGAAGTTTCATGTAGACTTCTTCAGAGAGATCACTATGCAGGAAGGCATTGGTGACATCCATTTGAACAGCATGCCAACCTTCCAGAGCTGCAACAACTAGCAATGTTCTCACAATTGTCATTTTGGCAACTGGGGCAAAAGTTTCAGAATAATTAATCCTATACTGTTGCTTACACCCAAGAATAACATGCCTAAATTTATGTCTTTCAATGCTGCCATCTGGGTTGTATTTTTTTTATACACCCAATAACACTCTTACCAGCAGGTAAAGAGGTGATGTCCCAAGTATCATTGAGTTCAAGGGCTTCTAGCTCAGAATTCATGGCCTTGACCTAGTGAGAGTGTTTGACTGCATCCTTAAAGTGAATAGGATCAGTTTCTTTGGTTAGGGAAGACAGAAAATAGCTGAAATCAGGTTGAATAGTGGTGAAAGCAAGGTTAGAGATATGAAAGCTTGGTTTGTTGAGCATGATGTAATCTTTGCTCCAAACAGAAAGATTATGAGTTCTGGTGGATTTTCTTACAGGAGGAGGAGTGGGAGAATTATTTGGTGTAATTGGTGGAGGATGAGTGGGAGAGGGTGTGTTTTGAGGAGTAGAAGGTGAGGAAGAGTGAAGAGGGTAAGGAGTAGGTGGGGTGTCATCTGACTTAGGCTCAGAATCTTCAAAATCAAAGAGATCAGTAGATATAGGCTTAGATATATAGGTCGCATATATGAATACTTAGAGTTAGAGTCGTATGGAAAAATGTGTTCATGGAATATGACATCCCAAGACACAAAAACTTGTTTGGTCAGCAAATTTTTCAATCTGTAACCCTTCTGAGTGGCTGGATACCCAAGGAACAGGTTAGTTACCCCTCTTGCTGCAAACTTATCAGTTGGATGCTCAGGATTGTATGAAAAGGCCAAGCATCCAAACACTTTCAGGTATTCATATTCAGGTTGTTTGTGAAACAAACACTCTAATGGAGTTTTATTGTCAAGAACAGGTGTGGGAATCCTGTTAATAATATGAGTTGCAGTCAGAACACATTCACCCCAATACATCAAAGGGAGAGAAGCTTGAAATCTCAGAGCTCTTGCTACTTCCAGAACATGCCTGTGCTTTCTCTCCACTCTAGCATTTTGTTGAGGTCTTTTGACACAAGATGTTTGATGTATAATGCCATGCTTGGCAAAGAAATTCTGACAAGGGCCATCATCAAATTCTAAGGCATTGTTAGACCTTACAAATTTGATTTTCTTTTAAAAGTGTGTTAGAGCATAAGCCTGAAAAAGTTTCCAGAGTCTTGAGTGAGTCTGACTTGTATTGCAGCAGATACACCCAAGTGTTCCTGCTATTATCATCCACTATGGTGAGAAATAGTCTGTATTTGCCCATAGAGCAGACTTTGTATGGACCCCAGATGTCCATATGAGTTAACTCAAAAGGAACCTGAGCATGTGAATTACTCAAGGTATATGAGAGTTTTGTGAATTTTGCCATAGGACAAGTAATGCAAACTTTTGTGGTTTGCTGAGTGTAGGGTTTTACACAGGCAATATTCTTGAGTTTTCCTAGGGAAGCATGCCCTAATCTGTTATTCCAGAGAGTGAGAGAACTGGAATTATCAGGCACATCCTTCCCATTCTTGTATTCTGAGGTAAGAGCACTCATCTTGCCTTTGAGCAAGATGTCCTGTGCCCAAGAGTCTGTGAGGTGGTTCACTAGATAGTATAGACCATCTCTCATTCTTCCCATGCCTCTGATTTCTTTTGTGGTGCTGTCAAGAATCACACAATAGTGTGGATAAAACTAAACTTCACATTTGTTGTTCTGAATCAGCTTTTGAACAGACAAAAGATTGTGCTTGAATAATGGCACACACAACACATTTCCAAGTTTGAGTCCTATTTCAAGGACAGAAGTTCCCATGTGAGTTATTGCAGCTTTATCACCAGTAGGTAGGTTGATTTTAGGTGTGATGTGCATAATTCTGCATTCACTCAGATTATTCAGGTGAGGGGTCATATGATCTAATGCTCCAGAGTCTATGATCCATTCACTTGGACTCACAGCAGCATGACATGAGATCATGCCTGAGAAATGTTCTAGTTCTTCATCAGTTTCAGATCCTTTGGCCTGAGTCATCAACTTAGGCATCATTTTAGCTAATTGCTCCAGTTGTTCAGGTGTGAACAACAAACCCCCATTTTCTGAGCTGGTTTGAGCAGCAGCTGCTAGTCTAGTTCCTGTATTCTTGGGACCAAAAGTCCATCTCTGAGGAGTAGCAGATTTTGATCTATTGTGAGAGTTGGAAGGATTGTGCTTAGAGTGCCAACTAGGATAGCCAATGACAGTCCAACATCTGTCACTTCTATGACCCTTAACACCACAGGCTGTGCACACAAAGGATCTGTCAGCTCCAGCAGGCTTACTGTATAGAGCCATTACATCACCAGCACTCTTATTGAGGTTCAAGACCTCTCTCTGAGCTTCCTCTTGCTGCATAGCAGCAGCAGTTTCAGCTGAAGGTAAAGGGATCATGAGAAGTAGCTGACTTCTCTGAGGGTTATACACTTCATCTAGGCCATTCAAAAATTGAAATAATTTTGCTTCCTCTTTCTGAGTATTAAAGGCAGTTAACAAAGATTGCACTTCTGGACTAGGATTAGAAATAGCAGGCAACATATTCATAGCATCTAGTTCTTCCCAGACTGCTTTCATCAAAGTGTAATATTCATTCACAGGCATTGAATGTTGTTTAATCTCAAATAGATCTTTATTGAGTTTATATTTTCTAGAACCATTTGTTAGAGAAAAACGTTTTTCCAAATTCAACCAAATTTCTCTAGCAGAAGTCATGAACATAATAGATTTCTTAACATTAGAAGAAACATTGTGGGTGATCCAGGCAATTACCATGTCATTGCAGGTGTTCCAGAGTTCTGCCTTCAATTCATCATCAGTTGGTTTGTCAACCGTGCCAAGAACAAATCCAAGCTTGCGTTTGGAGGAAAGATTAATCTCCATTGTCCTGCGCCAAGCTCTGTAATTAGAGGATCCTTGTAGCTTATCTACTTGTACTGAAGTAGCACTATCAGAGGGATGAAGAAATAAGGGATTCAGCATATCTTGCAAGGAGATTCTACATCAGCCATTGATAGAAGAATAGGAAGAGAAAACAAGAGAAATTTTAAGAATGAGAGATCGAGGAGAAAAGAAGATTAGAAAATAAATTTGAGAGAAGGAGACAGTACAGAATATTATCAGCAATCAGAAGATGATCATTCCAGCACTGTATTGAGGTGCTTTGATACCATGATGACAGAAATAAGTCTAATATGATTAGCTCAATACAAAAGGAATCATTAGAGAGAAGATTTGGAGAAGAAAAGGAGAGAGAGAGATAATATGATTGCTTAAGGAAAACGGTTACAACATCACATCCTTAATACATGCACTAGGGGTAGAGCATAGCTAGTTGGCAAGAATCTAACACATTCATGCACCTAAAATAATAGAAAGCTAAATGACAAAAAGGAATAATAGAATGACAGCTCATTGGATTAGCTAAAAATCCAATTATTTGGTGTAATATCCTTAATAGTTCTAACCCTGCTTATGACTATCATACCAATTCTTTTACACCTTGTTTGGATAAAAGGAAATGGAAAGAAAAGAAAGGAAGAGAAAGGGAGGGGGACAAACTCTCTTGTTTGGATAAAGGATTGGGGGAAGAAAGGAAAAGGAGAGGGAAGGATCCATTTTCCCTCTCTCTTTAATAAGCATAATCCCTCCAAATTTGGAGAGATTTGTAGGGGAAATGGAGTTTACCTCCCCCTCCCTTTCTTCTCTCTTCCCTTCCTCTTCTATCCCTCCCCTTCATTTCCTTCCTTGTTTTCTATCCAAACAAAGCATTACTCATTTTATTATTATTTGATGCTCTTCGCTATCCAACTAGATCAATGGATCATTTGATTCTTTATTGTTGTGATAGTAGCAGAGAATGAAGAACAATAAATATATGACCTCATTTATGCCGCTTCCAGAATTATTATGAACAGAAAAATACTATTAAGGTTGGATAAATGGATGCCTAAAATTGTCTACACCTTGTAGTTCAGGTAGGTGAGCAACTGTGCAGGTGCTGAGCATCTACTGATTGGTATATCTTCAGTTCAGATATATGACAATAATGTTGCTTGACTAGCAAGCTGGGAGTATTAAGAATCGTTTCTGCTGATGCTTATGCTGCTCTCTACTGTGGAATATTGGAAAGGTAAAATTATGCTGTTGTATGATGTCTGAAGCTTTAATTCTGAATTTACTGTATATTTTAAGCTGTGAAGTGATTCATCATTTGTTACGCATTTCACTTTTGAATCTAGCTAATCGACAAGAGATGATATAAAGAGAGGCATGCACACTTATTTAATATCGTGATTATGTTTCTAATCTTGCTACTATTTGTTGTTTTCTAAAACAAATGAACAAATGTAAGCTTGACTCCTTCCAGGCATGGCAGCTGCTTATTGCAGCAATCGCTCATCGAAAGCCTTACATGTTATTGCAGAACATTTTTTGTTTTTTGGATTTCACCTTTTTATCTTGGCAGATGGACCGTTTAAATCTCTTTCT